ACAATCATAAAGGTTTGAAAGACACTTACCCGTCCACACAGCAGCTTTAAAAAAAATCTTGAAAATCTTGGAGCTGGGCGTGTCTGAAAGCTTGGGGATTTTTTGCGAGCAACGCGACCAACAACAATCACATGAATCTCCCGCCCCCGACATACAAAGCAATAGCAATGTTAAAACGAAGTAAACTGGATATAAACTCTCCAAACAGGCGAAAAACCTACCAGCCACCTCCCTCCATGCCTGGTTCCTCCGGTTTGTATCCCGGTAAGTTATTAGCGACTGGTCATAAAGAACCGGGTGATTTGCTACCGCAATAACTAATTTCTCCTCCATTTTCAGGAATATAGAAAATGAACTGCGGTCTGGCTCTCCCAGTTTGCACACGGTTTGATGGGCTAGCGCTTGTATTGTCAGATTTGCATAAACGGGATTTGATTGGCTGACGCCTCCGTCGAGGCGGCAAAAGTAGAACATTGCTCTACTTTTGCAGCGAGCACCACGTTGCTCGCAAAAAATCCCCAAGCTTTNNNAATGCAGTTCGGCGAAAAGCGAGGCAAATTGACGTCACCCCATTCAAAGTCAATGGTCAGAGAAGAGTTTGGAAGATTTAACGCTGCTGTGTAGACGGGCCGTTATCCTAACCTAATTGGGTTTACCATCATAAATGTTGAACTCATTTTCATTTGAGTCAAAACATAGTGACAAGAGAATTTATATTTAACCCATAATTCAAAATGGAGCAAAGCCGACAATGTTACTTTCTTACCGTTACCAGCTATAACCATCTTCTCCTCTTCACAGTCCTCGTCATCTCTGCAGTGACCATCCAGCACTTTTGGGCTCTGAGAACAAAAGACACAGTAATACATTTTCAGGAATTATCCCGATCCTTCAGTGTTTATGCAGTAATATTGCCTGGTTTTCCTTTGACCTAGTCTCATTAAGACCCTGCCCCCCAGGAAGCAGGGCTGTCCATGGCCAACATGAGGCCCCACGCAAAGTTATATGATGAGGCCCTCTGTTTCGCGAGCGTCGCAGCGAGCATCGCAGAGGCGAAACCGTGTAGCGCAAGGTCAGGCCCCACGCAGTCTGCTTGATCGGCCTGTAGGGAGGGACGGCCCTGTCAGGAGGCCTTACCTCTTTGAATGCCTCACACACCCACCTGCTTCCCATTGCCTCCTTAACCTCGCAGCTAAATGGTCTTCTGCATTATAAAACGTGCAACAGCATGTATTCCTGATCATTCCTCTCTGACCCTTTGCTTATTTATTGGATTCCCTGCCGAACCTTGTCGGTAACGTTTGCCTTTGTCTGTTTTACATTTTAGTTTTGACCCTTTCTGTTTAAATTTAATAGATTTAGCTTTTTATCTTTTCTGGAGGATATCAAAAACGACATTCTTACTAGTAATAATGTATATTTCTGATATCAAAAATATAATTTTAACTAGAATGCAAATTCTTGATATCACAAATTAAATTGTAACTAGTTGTAATGTGCATTTTTTTTTTTTTTTGTGTTTTGTGCATTCTAACTAGTTAAAATTATATTTTTTATATCAGAAATAAACATTATTACTAGTAAGAATTGCATTTTTTATATCAATAACTCGCATTCTTACTAGTAAGAGATATTTTTTGATATCCTCCAGAAATGAATACAAGCTAAATCGGCTTGCCATATTTATTGCCTGTTCTTTCTCAGTAGGTGTCACAAAAAGGGCTACACATACAATGAAACTACGGAAACCCATTTCGGCCAAGAAAATGTAAATATAGATGAATTAAATAAATAAAAAATACTAAAACATTATGCCTTCTTCATCGACTTGAATATGACTTACTCATTTTTATATAGGAAACCATACTTTTTATTTACCATTTTATACTTTTCACTTTTAATCATTTAAATGAGGTTCCCTCACACCTTTGACATACAATGGTGAGTTAGCGAACACTGTGCCTTTCCTGACAGGTAAGGGCTACCTTACATATCATATTTTGGCTGTTCCTGTTAGAAAATATATTGGGAAACATTGTGAAATTATACATTTTATGAAAAGTCCCAACATTCAAAGATGACGTGACCATACACTGGTGACACAACAAGCTCAGCTTACTTTGAAACAGTAGAAGTGGAGTAAGGGGGTAAGCAGTTTCATCGCAACACCATTAAGATGAAAGTAAAAATGTACCTCGGGTTTGTTTATGGACACCTGACACTTCTCATAACAGATGTGAACCTCTTGTTTAAGTGAGTTTTGACTGCCTGGCAGAGCATAATGAATGATGGTCCCTGCTTGAGTGTGGCAGCCTTTCAGACGGGCACTGCGATTGGTGAGAGCCGAAATGTTTACAAGAGCAGTGTTTTATGGCTGTGTGCCACTTTCTTCCTGGATGTTGCAGTGACACAAGAGACCAAAAAAAACTGAGTTTACATACCAGACACGTTCTGTAAATGTGCAGCCAAAGATAGTGCTGAGGGAGAGGATGAACAGTATAATTGGCACACACACAAGAAGGGTTAAAGGTATTTTGTCATGACTAAGAGCTGTGAAGAAAATGCAGACCAGTGCCTCTGATTCTCTCTCTTCCCATTGTGCGCACTATTGATGAATTGACATTGTGTAACTGTGTTCTTCATCCTGATTTGTGGAGCTTTCGGTAAAGCTAATTTGCTCAAGAAGCCATTAATCGTGAGAGAAAACAAGCGTATTTCTATGGTTCATTGAAACAAAATGATAGGGCAGAGAGAAGATTCAGTTTGTGTAATTTCTTCCCTAAACTCGGTCACTCATGGTCGCCCTCTGTAACTTTGAATCATGGCTGTTTGGAATAGTTTCCAGATTATCAGCACTCAAACAGTGCAAAGTAAATAAACCTTATACTTTAAAATAAACACAGTTAGTGTCAGACAGTTTGAAACTACAGGCTGACCGTGTCTTCTCCACAGTCTAAACAGCACATTATGCTCTGTGGCTAATACTAAAACAACTTCCATTCCTGATGTTGAAATGTCGCAAAATTCAAAGCCATGTATCCCAGTGCAATAAAGACAACTGCAATCACAATAGATACAATACATGAAAACGTGTGTGAAAATGTTGTCTATTATGAACCAAACACATAGAGTATTTGAAGCCCGGTAGGAACAATTTGCTCACCATATCACTAAACATATAGTTTCATTAATAATGGATGAAGGTTCAAGGTTATCATCTTGTTTGTTTTACATTTCAGGTGGCACATTGGAGAACGGACTGTCACACCTTAACAGGGTATAAGGATCGAGGGTCTGATACTCTTGCAGTAACCTTAAATTAATAATTGAAAAGTTATATTTCAGGCAAAAATCAAATAAAGGATCTCAAATTCCTCACACACTCACTACAGTCTAGAGTGAACATTCACCTGGTTATAAACACTAATATTGGCTGATATATATATCTTTACGTTATCTGCAATTTGATATCTTTTACTTTTTTAAATGAGAAAAATAATCTTTGACAAAATGGATGTTAAATCCAGTTCCACATTACATGATACGTTGCTGTTACGACTGGCATTGTTGTCAAATGTGAGGATAACTAAAAATATATGTATTTCTTATTTTTGACAGCTCCTATTGTAATCATTGAAAGTACCTGTGTTCTGTTTCCTTACCTCAGCGCAGTAACCCAGCTTCTGGTTTGGCGTCTCTAAGAAATTGGTGACAACAAACAGCACCGCTTCACCCTGTAGAGAAAATACTTTGAATTTGTCTTTATGTTTACATAACAAATATATGCATTTGGGTCAATTGTAAGCAAACAAATTATAAAAAAATGGTAATTGGCTATTTTTTATGTGAAATTGCTTAAAAATCTCTTATTTACCTTCTTAAATGTGAATATTTCGTGTTCTTTAATCCTCTTCGACACTAAACTCAATGTCTTTATATTGTACACCAAACAAGATCATTGTTGATGTCATCCTTTGCTTTGGCAAACACCTATCAATATATGTCCCCACTTTTTGCCATTGTAGACAAAACAACAAGTTGATAAAGAAATCGACAGACTAATAAAAATTAACGGTCTCCATTAGTGATACATTTTACATTGTTGGCCCATTATGCTTATGGAGCTGCACCTGCATGCTTCATCCATAAATTCAAGCAGACATAACTAAGCATGTATCAAAAATGAAAAACATTCTGTATTAACTTCCCTATGTAGTTAGCATGTGTGTGTCTCTCACCCAGTGTTGATGTGTGATGCTCTGGGTTAAAGGTTATTAGAATATTTAGAATATTTTTCATCAATATATTATAGGTCTCAGATATATACAAAACATGTCTCTGAAGTGTTTGGCTCAACATACCAAACAGATCCCCAATTGTAGCATCCCATAAACCCCTCTGTTTCAGCCCTGTTTCAAAAGTGCTGATTCTCTGTCTGTTAAATGAAAATAAGGAGCCACTCCCCTCGCCCCTCTGAGAGATATTTGGCGCTTTCACACCGGAGTACTTTTCCCAGTATACCTCCGATAGTTCTTGAAATGTTGCGTTCACACCAAAAAAATCCGGAACTAGGACTTAGTTCATGAGAACCTTTTCACCCCCTTTTTAGTCCCTGCTAAAGAGCAGGAACTTTCCTGGGAGAAAAAGGTTCCCATTTCTGATTGGCTGGGCGGATTGCAAAACCGCGCCCCGTAAAACTTGGAAAAGTTTTGTGAAGCCGCCATTGTATTTGCTGGCATTAGCATTATTAGCATTAGCATTAGCCCAGCGCACCAACGGAGAGAGACTANCCTTTCACCCTCTTTGACTGAAAACATGAACCTTTTTCATGTGGGAAAAAGGTTCCCATTTCTGATTGGCTGGGCGGATTGCAAACCAGGCCCCCTAAAACTTGGAAAAGTTTTGTGAAGCCGCCATTGTATTTGCTGGCATTATCATTATTAGCATTAGCATTAGCCCAGCGCACCAACGGAGAGAGACTAACTTATGACAACACAAAAAAAAACATGGGAGCGGTTTAGTGATGAGGAGGTGTCGGCGTTCTGGCAATTTACTCGGAAGGCAGTATACGGCGTGAAGTTGTTTGCGGCCTGCTAGTACACCCAAAGCAGAAGAAGAAGAAGTGACGTCAGCGGCTTCATTTGCCTAATCCTCCCTCAGGGACTTATTCCGGTGTGAACGCGATCTGCTCTTTAGTTCATCAGAACTAAGTACGGCAAAGTACTTGGTGTGAAAGCGCCTAATGGTGCTCTAGGAGGAGATTCAGGTGATAAGGTGGGGGGCTGGGGTTACCTTGGTTGATTATTGGCTAATGTTTACACAAGCCAAAAAATCGTTGTGACATCATAAAGTGGCCAAAATCCGATCAGCTAATTTTCAGACAGGTTTTTATATAAATGGATCAGGACAAAAAGAGAGAGAATCTTTTTTCCTGAAACTTTCAGAATCTCTTTACTCAGAGGGGACACATGTTTCTGTATAAAATGCATGAAAAGGTGGATTTTGCACAATAGGTGACCTTAAAAGCTTCACCTGGGGTGGGATGACGTAGTCCTCCGGCCCCCACACCAGCCGACCAGACTCCGAGGTGTTAGTCACCGAAACTCCTTTCAGTTTAGTAATCACAGAGCTCTGGATGGCAGTGTCTGTTTCCTGGTAGCCTTTCTTGCTTACAAAAACCCAGCTGTGAGTGAGAGCAAAGATGCATAAGCTGAAATGTGTGTTTAAAGCATCCTTTTGACATTTTGATTTTCACATTGTTCATCTTAAACATTACGTTTAACACAGATGTGTCGTTTCTTTTGTGATGAATTTCCATTTGAATTTAGTGGAACATTTATGTGGTATATCTAATCATGGAATATTATTTTAATTTAAGACTATTTCATTTAGCAAACCGTTTCATGCAAAGAGACTTACAATAAGTGCAATAAAGATATATACTCAGAAAAACAGGTATATGCGCTTTGAGTAAGCTCTGCTATAATAACTTTGGGTAACTAGGTTTAGGTTGTACTCTTATGGACTATTTTATGAATGACTGACACCTTTTTATAATAAAGCACTTGTGACTGAAAAAGTTAGTTTTATCTATGCTTACAGCTTTTAAATGTATGGGTTTTGCTACAGGGCGCGGAACAAGCCACAAAAGTACACTGACAATTTTTAAAAAGTAAAAAATACCCTGTTCTGTCACTTGGCCTCACAGCACTGACTGAAGCACATCATCTCTATAAAACACTTTTTTTTTTGGTATATTGGTCTTTTAATTTGTGATTGTTTTTGTATTATTTGACTTTAACTTTAACTATATATTTATTTGTTGTTCCTTTCTTTTCTTGTCACTATATCTGTAAAGCGTCTTTGAGCACCTGTAAAAGTGCTAACAAAATAAATATATTATTATTATTATTTATACTAAATATTTATCCTACAGTTTGATATTAGTCAACATAAACCCCTGTATTAATACTATGATTTATCTTCTCATGGTTAACAAGGCAGTTTTATTCTTATAGTAATTTCTAACTTGTGCAATGAGGTTATAAAACTGTAAAAGTTGAACTGACTTACCCTATAATGTAGCCAATGATAGATAACTGAATAAGTCGGTACAAAACTCCAACCTTTTTATTTTTGGCAATAATGTATTTTTCCGTTTTATAATCGAATAAGGAGAGGAAGCGTCCTTTGAAGAAGCTCCCGGCCATCCTGCTGCTGTAACTCTGCGGAGACTCGGATGTCAGAGGACAAAAATGCAGTGGCACGTTTACACCGAACATCACCAGCGTCAAGTCAGCATCAACAAGCAACTTACCCGGCTGGGACTTTCTAAATAAAACTGGATTTCTTACCAATGAGGTCAAAAAGAGACACCCGGTATTATCTTGAAGACATCATGGTGGTTTGAAGATTCTAATCTGAATTGATGGAAAGGACAACTATAAGATTGTTTTTTAATTAAAACCAAAAGTCTACAAGCATAGGCCTACTGCCATTAGGCTTGACTTTTGAATGGTAGAAGGGGCCGTTTTAGTGGTTTGATTTGAGGGGCCCCATTTAAGGAGCAATGTGAGGTCCTCATCCTTTTTGCTTTCCACAATCATAGTAAGCAAAAACTTTTTGGCACATCTGTTTTCAGTTAGACATATACCCAAATTAGAAGCTATAGTCTCTCTTAATTTAATGCTTGGTATAAGAGTAGATTTCTGGATTTCTTAAAAAGGAATATGCAATCCAGAAACGAGTAAGCTTTATTGCACAAAAATAAGCTTTCTTAGATATTGCCAGCATGTGCAAATGATGCGTCATTGTAAAAAAGAGAGTGACTGCCTTTGATAGGCCGCAAAATTAGCATGCATGGGTGCTAGTTCAAGCGAAATGTGGCTCAAAATTAAATATGAGATCTGTAGATATTTTGCTGGACTATGTTTCAGTGTAAGGAAGTCACCTCTGTTGGTGGTGCTCTTTGTTAAGCAGAGACAATAGAGGTTTCTCAAATACTCTAATTTCCCCTCCTCGACTCCTCGGTCCTCCGGTAGTGACCCGGAAATGGATTTCAGCGCGCCATGCTGACGGACATAATAACAGCAAATTTACATTACTAAAAAGAGTATTGAGAAACCTCTATAGAATATGATAAAGAGGTAAGATGGTTTCTGTTCGTATAGAGGAGATGTTTTCTGAGTGGCAGTCATCTGTGGCCTCCTTCCTTTCCATGGTCACAAAGTTTGTAGGCCAAACACGTGAACAAGAGGTGTAGTAGTTTCCTGTATAAAACCACAACTCATCATGCAGGCACACTGACGAAAGAGAGGAGGCTTTTTGATACTTCAGGTGGTCAAGTCTGATCTAATCAGATAAATAACCTGTAACCTATATATTTTCTTTTGAAATGTGTTGAGTCGTTATCACAAATAGACGGACACACACAGTAATAATACTAATAATCGTAATCATAATTACAATAAAGCTTTATTTGTGTAGCACTTATCATACAGGTGTAGCTCAAAGTGCTTTAACAACACGCCACAAATGATAACAAAGAATAAGAAAAGTCACTTTAGGTCAAACGTCAAAACTTTTTTGCACAGATGCAGCATAAAAACATTATATGACAATTCAAGCATCACAAAAACGTAAAAAAGCTAAGATAATAAAAAAGTACAAAATGAATAAATACAATAAAATCTTTAAAACAATTAAATACATTAAACAAACTAAAATAATAACGACCAATTCAGTGTGAAGCAGTCAAACTCAGCAGTTTTTGCAATTATATTTATTGAACATTAAATGTAGGTATAAATATGCTTCTTCTACTTTCACTGGGTGATCAACCTTTCCATTGGCCTTCACACCAAGCCCAAGCATCTACAATACAGGAAGTGGTCTGGTGGAGACATTTATGTCAGGCTTTTTTTTACTCATATTCATCTATCATTGTGAACAATACTTCTTGATTGGAATATATTGTTAAACATGATCCACTTTGATCTTAAGAAAAGAGAAACATTGTGACAAACATTTAGTCTGTCGTTCATGTGAAACGGAAAGACATCAAAGTGCCTCTGCAGATGAACTGTAATGGTCTTGTGGTTTTGTCCCGTGATGCTTAGAGGGGTTTGCATCGAGCACAACCACAGCGCTGCTCACACTGTGAGAGATTCTGACGATGGATACTGACGGGTGGATGTTCCTTTTAGCGCTTCACTTTATTTGTGTGACTTCAAATGGTGAGTCCTCTTGTGAAATTAAAGAATTAAAATACTGCGTTTTTGACATTATTTAATCAATCAATTTATTCTTTGAAACTTAGTCTCTTGGTTATTTAAATTGCAATACCAAATGTGTTGACTTCAAGATAAGACATGACTACAATGAACTTTGATGTTATTCATATGTTTAAATATATGTCATAATAATTCAATAATGATAAATTACTACATACATATTTTTTCTTCTTCAATGTTAAATGTTTTATTAATATATTTGTCTGATTAATCTTCATTTCCCCCTAGGTAAAATTATAATTATTAAGTTGGTATTTTTTGTCTAAATAAGCTTCTCCTTTTTTTAGTTTCAATGTTATACGTTTCTTTTTTCTATCATTGTCTATAATAAAGCAATTCGTGTTTGCCTATTAGTGCATTTTTCATATGTCGCAGCTTTTTCTGCTTCATGAGCCTTTAAAAATGGTAGTTATCACACGTTTCTCAACCTTGATGGTTAATTTTAACATGTTTACACCTAAGTATTGAATACAGTCATAAGGAGGAAGAGTAACTGCTGTTGGGTATTTATTTATGAGATATGTGGCTTAAACCTTTTCTTGTATTTCTTTCATCCCGCTCAGACGAGCCGTACAATAAGAGCTCTTGTGTGAAGGATCCAGATGTGTGTGAGATACACACACTCAGCACTCAGCTTGGCTCCTCTGTGCTTCTCCCATGCAACTTTGAACAAAGTAACGTCAACAGGGTGTCATGGACCCAAACTCCTGATCTGCACCTGCTGCAGCTCACGTCTGCAGGTCGCATCGTGTTCCTGAACCCCAGGTTTGGTCGTGTGAAGGCCTTTCCAAACCAGGGCCAAGAGGGGAACTTCTCCATCAGCATCAATGAGCTAAACAACTCAGACCTGGGGTGTTATGTCTGTACACGAGGAGATGACTGTCTTCAACTGGAGTTGGTTGCTGAACATGGTAAGGTCATTCCTATTTTAATGAAATAAATAAACGTTGTGGGCCTGAAAGGGCAAGTGTGTGAGCTACAGTTTCCTGTGAAGTACAGCATTGTGAAACCACATGTTGTCGTGCAGGTGCTCAAAGCGTAAACATGATGCTACTGATTTACATCAGTGTGGCTCCTTTCATCCTGCTGAGCGTCGGTGGCTACTGCTGCATGAAGTGTGAGTACTGCCCCAGTCTGACACTTTTAGTCCAAACAGTTCATCGAATAAGAAGTGCTTTGCTTGTTCAATGGGTTTATGGATGGATGATGGTTGATTCAAATAAAAACTTTTTTTATTTCAGTCTGCTGTAAAAACACAGCTTCGTACAATCCTGAAGGTGCAGGTACGGAGGGTAAGCAACCATTTTTACAATTTACCGTTTAAGTTAGAAAGGCCTATTGTAAAATGTTGCCCAGTGCACGGTTGCAGTCAAAAATAAAGGCAGATTAAAATAAAAATACATGAATATAATACAGCCAGGCAAGGCATCTTAAATTAAAATACATGTGTTATGAAAACTTGCATCTGTTATTTAAGACAAAATGTCCACAGCAGAGCACCCTGGCAAAAGACAGGGTTAAATAGCATTGTAGAAAAAGAAACAGTTACCGCCCGTCCTTCAAAAGATTAGTTAGTTTGGGGAAAACATTTTATTGTTTCAGGTCAAGAAGATTGATACCACGTCATGAAATGTTGTTGAGGGGTTCTAAGAAAGTCAAAAAATCCCCCGTCTAGTGAGAGAAAAATCCCTCAAACGTGTTTGCGGGAGCATAATCTCATAGGTTGAGCAAAGATTATCGTCTCATATACATGGAGATTTTAGATTACTACAAATGGATGAACAGTTATGGGTTCAATGTTTTGGATAGAGGAGACTGGACAGACTTTTCTAGGTTTTTTACCTTTGACCTTATAATGTCCCCCTGCAGGTGTCAGTCCTTCACAAGAGGAAACAGGCAGAGTGCCAGGCGGCCAACAGCAGGGAGGTAATCAAACAAAGTCATTTATGTTAACACATGTGATGCACGATAAGAAAATAAAGAAAGTAATATATATGTGGTTTTTTTCTTGACAAGTAACTGTGTGTGTCATTTCCCTACAGGTGCACACAATCCTAATCTTGTTTATGGTGAGTACACATTGCTCTGTTTCTTCACTTTTTTTCATGGATTTTTAAAAGATAATGTCTTTGTTTCTTATCACACGTAAAAAAAATCATCATTGTATTATATTTTCAAATACCAGAAAATGAGGACCAAGGCCCATTCAACCAGCAGGGGGAACCCAGAGATTATTGCAACACAGTTTCAGGAGCGATGCCACATCCCGACCTGACTCTGCACCCTGACAGCAGCAGGGGGATTTATCCAAACCTCAACCAGTTCCAGAGGGCGGAGAGTCAGAGGACTAAACTGAGATTTCATAGAGGTGCTTAACATCCAGCACAATTACTACTGTTTGTATAACTGGTGACAAGTGATGGAAGAAGTACCCAGATTCTATTATTAAGTCAAAATAATGATACTGCAGTCTGAAAAAACTCCATAAGTACAAGTCACTTTAGGAATCAAAAATACAATTATTTGTTATGCAGAATGGTTCTTCTGAAAAGTTTTATATTAATATAGATCATTAAAGTATTTTTGTTTTGATCTGCAGCAGATACATGTGAATCTGGAGCAAAGTGCATATTTTGTACACTGCTGAGTAGAATGTTAGTTAACATATTTTATTTATGTAAAAATGTACCAGTATCTACAAGTGTCAAACAAATGTAGCGCGGTAAAAAGTATTTGTTTCCCATTTTAGAGGTAGTAGTAGATAAAAGTAGAAAATGTTAATACTCAAGTAAAGTACCTCACATGTTTTCAGAACAGTACTTGAACAAATGTAGTTGATTGATTGACGATTCAACCATATGGTAATGGTTAATTGTATATTGACAAACTAAAGTAACTCAGTCTCCTGTCACCTCTCCAGAACTCTTCAACAGATTACGGCAAGCAAGTGTCAAGCGCCCTTATTACGGTAATATAAGTATGTTTTATTAAATCACATAATTTCAATGTTTTCAGGAACTTCACCTGTTCATTTCCTCACACAGTTAACCAAGATGAAATGAGGCAACAACAAGCCAGTTCAACTCTGGAGGAGAAGCGTCGCAGAGGTATTTAGATTACATTTAATATTGATTTGAGTGTGAGTGTGAGAAATAAAAGTTTAATGCACACAATGTAATCAGTTTGATTGTTTGTTATTGTGTTTGGCTGCAGGTTTGGGGAAGAAGAAAGCCAAAGAAAGTGAGTGCTGATCTGTTTGCATGTTCAGGATGAAGCAATATCTGCTCAACTTCTCTCCAACTTCTCCATTGTTTCCCTGTCAGATGCTGAATTAAAAAACCCGATATACAACAGGAGCGTAGACCAGCTCAACCACCTATAGAGAATTAAAGAGAGTTTAAACATCTGCTGAGATATTAGCAGTATCAACATCCTTTCCAATCACGGTTGTGTTTACTATTTTAACATACTATAACTTGATACATGTCTTGTTTGCTGCATAATAGTACTGTTTTTTTTCTGTACCTCTATAAGACAATGACACCTTGTTGTTGGGTGATGTTTATCAAATAAAATCTTAACATAAAATCCAGTAGTATTCGGTATGTTTGTTTAATGAGACAACCCTGTGTATGCAAAAGTTTTTAAATGCATTTGAAACAGTACTTGTATACCATATCAATTGCTTTTATGCACTCAGGTTGACTTGCAGAAAAGATGTAGCCTATTTTTAATCTAAGCACACCGACACCTTCAGCCAGTTTAGAGGGTTTTTTTCTGCATAAATGTAAACTGAATCAGAATCAGTTTTATTGCAAAATAGGTTGCCACATACAAGGAATTGAAAACACAGTGCGAAGAGAGCAAACATAGAAATATTACAAACAACATACAATAAAAACGATTATGTAATGAAAACATTTGTATAAAAAATAAAAAGGGATGAAGTATGGTGCAGAATTGTGCTAAATAGTCATATCAATTTGCAAAGCTTCCAACTGCAGGAGAATACAGTGAGAAACTACAGAAATTGTTTTTTAAGGTGGTGACAGAGTTTCTGTGAGTTGCTTTGAGAGCCGTGCCAATCAGGCCAAATGAGAAGCAGCTGCTGCACCTGTCACACATTCCAAAGATGTTGCCACACAGCACAAACTTCATTTTAGTCTCATTATCACTGCTAATTTTGAAATGTAAAACTCATGCTGCTACAAAGCCACCCCAAGCAGCAGTTTCTAACACTAACAGTAATCATACATCCATTTGCCACGATGGATTCATGTCTGTTTACCTGTCAAAGATGCAATTTCCTGATCTCCGTTTCAATATTTATGTTCAAGGTGAGTCAGACATTTGCAAAATATGTATTGATCATGATACATAGCTTGTTAAGAATTTACTATGCTTTTGATTTTGTCTAAATGTAAACACAGATGAGCACAGCGGGTATTACCAAGCCATCTCTATAGCAAAACAGTGCCACTACTTCCTTGGAGAGGCTGACACCTTCATTGTCCTAACAGTCGCTCCATATGGATGCTTTGTGAGAAGACAAGTAAGCTTACGATTGTGTGTTTAATTTGAATGCTGATTTGTATTTTTCACACTCTAATCTGACCATTTTGTTCAATAGAAGCATGTCACAAGTCTGACTGTTGTCATCACAGCACTAGACAGAGGAATAGTTGACATTGTCAAGTCAATACCTCTGATCTGTGAAAGGAAAGTCAAAGGTAATCCTAGCTTTAATTTAATCATAATGCCAACATGTTTAAGGAGTTAGATTATTATTAATTCTCACTATGTTTTCTACAGAGGTGAGGAGAAATGATAAACCACTGGCGTCAAAAAATAAATTCTGCAACAAGGATGGGTTCAACATTACCATTTATCAAAGTGCCACAGTCCCACCTCTGAACCTGGATGCTTGCTGGATCCCTTCTGGTCAAAGTGACAACTGTAAACCTAAAATAAAATCCAAGGAAGCTGTCACATTCAGCTTTCCATTCACTGATTGTGGCACTCAGTCCAAGGTTAATTCAATTAAATAACCTCCCATCATCAGAGAAATCAGTGATATTTTACAGAACAAAAAGTATTATATTTGCTGTGTCTTGCAGATATCAGAAGGGATTATGACCTACTGGGTCAACATTGAGGTGAAGCAACATCTGCATGAAGGCCCTATTTTCCGTGATATTCCTTTCCTGTAAGAAATGAAAAATAACCCACTTCTCCTGCTGTATGAGGGGAATGGCTATTCATTTACTTTTTCAATTGTTTCATAGTCATACTGTGCATTGCAGCTTTACACTGGCACAAATCAGTAAGCTGGATGTCGAGGTTAAGGGAGGAAAATCGGTGTACCCGTCCACACTCAGGAATGAGGGAATACTGAGGACGGAAATGAGATTTGCCAAAGGTTAAGTTGGTCGAATTGTTGCTATACATTCCTATTTTTTTTAACTTTTATTGTCCATCTCAAATGTATGTGTCTGTACATTTTTATCCAACACAAAGTCTTCAAACAACAGAAAGTCCCATCAAAAAAGTGATAATTCACGACATGAAAATAAATGAACTGCTTTTACTTTGAATGGACAGTTTCAGATTTGCTAAAGCCTTATTTATTTGTTTTCAATCATCATTATTCTACAGATTCCAACTACAAGTATTTCCATTCCTCTCGAGACCTTCCTATAGTGACTGAGCTTGGCAAGCCTGTGTATGTGGACGTTTTTGTTCTCAAACAGGAAGACAAGGACTTGGTGCTCTTGCTTGAAGACTGCTGGGCGACACCAACTAAAAACCCATATGACCCACAAAGATGGAACCTGCTGGTTAAAGGGTGACTTCACATTAAGACATATAGTTTAATATCCAAGAAGGCTCCGTATGTTAACATATTTGCCTGTACTGATCAACTGAATTCCCGTATCCAATCCAGATGTCCTTTCAGTGGTGATAGCCACCAAACTGGTGTGTTGCCAGTTGTTCCAAAGGTGCTCAAATATCCCTCTCTTCATAAATGGTTTGTGGTCAAGATGTTCTCATTTGTGAAGCCACCAGCATTTGAAAACCTGGTATGTAAGACAAATCAAAAAATCAAAATAAACAGATCAACAATAATGTTTTTAGGCTTGGGGATGTTTTTAAAATAGGATGTTTCCTTGCAGGTATATTTCCACTGTGACATAGAGATAAGTAAGGGACCAGATTACTTACAATCCTGCAGTAACAGTAAGTGGATTTGCAGACTTTTGAAACTGTTATGAAGTCTACTGTATGTTGGTTTAGTGAATCACACACTTTGTTACATTGCATCTAACTCTGTAAAATATTTGTTTGTTTTTCCATGTCTTTCAGAAAGCCGTATATTAAGACAAATCACACCAAGACCAGAACAGAGCAATCTTTACAGCGTAGTCTCTGGTGGACCTCTTATTTATCTGTAACCAGAAAGAAAACCCTGCTATTTCAAGCACACTTTCGAAATGTTCAAGCAAAAAATGATTTGTTGTTGAAAAAAAATAAACCTGTTACAAACTATAATGGCTTGATTCATTTTCTAGATTCAACTAATTTGGTGACATTTAAAAAAACAAATCAACCCACCCATAGGACTTTTAATGAATACCTACAACATGTGACATCATATTGAACATTCACAAATACTAAATGACTGGTTCTTAACTTTGTTTTCATACAGAGAAAACTTATTTAAGAAAGTAAATAGAATTGTGAATATATTGTATTACATTCTATGGTAGTGGCTCTCCGGTCATGTGCTCCCACCTCGACCAATAGAAACACAGAATGAGATAGTTTGCGGAAGTTGTTCAGCGAGCGTGTCGTCTTTGAAACGAGACACAGAAATGTGAAAGAAACTTTAATTTTCTAAAGTTTTAAACCTTCAGTGGGCAAATAACTCCAACTATACCGTGTACCGGGTGATAAACATCGGTATTAGCTTCGTCTGTTCAGCTCCTCACACTGTTCTCTGCGGGTGAAGGTACTCAGAGTCGTCAGTTATTATGTCCAAGTCAACGAGATTGGACCCGAAAGAAAATAACCCGAAGAACCTGCCGATCTATCAGCACAAAGCCAAGCTGGTTCAGGCCGTCAAAGACAGCACTTTTCTGGTCATCACCGGTGAGACTGGCAGCGGGAAAACCACACAACTTCCAAAGTACCTTCATCAAGCTGGTAAGCTGTCTTTTAGCTGCTTCCTCTGTGGTCATATGAAGTTTGCTATTGCTAATGCACACACTACATAGATCAGAACTACTATGTAACAATCTTTAAAGTTCTAAAGTTAGATGACAGCATTTACATGTGATTTGTGGTTTAAGGGGAGATACACTACTTCTAAAAAGGGTTTAAATGTTAAATAAAAAAAACATCAACATGCAATGCAAAGTACACATGTATAATTACAATACAAATGCGAAGGAATGTTGTTTTATGTTAGTACCTTACTGCTAAAGCGAAGATGTCTGGCTCAGATTAGGCTATGAGAAAAAAAGACACACATATGTTTGACAAATTGTCCATTAAAGTTATGTATTGAAAAATTACATACATTTTCAAACTTCCCCTGATGATTTTTCAAATGTGTGAGAGGCTTTCACTAATGCTGATTGTAGGATACATCTACAGATTCAAATAAAAAAATTGTTGTAAAATAAAAAAACTAAATGCGTACTTTCTTTACAGTTGTCTGAAAAAAAACATATTTTGGCAGAAAAATAGCCCATACTCTCAAATTGTGTAAAAAGTGTCTGGCATTTATTAACACAGCGGTCCGGGTCTTTTAATCATGCTAGGACACACATGAGACCACTGCACTAAGGTGAACCCCTTCCTCTTACTTGTTTTGCAGGTTTTTGTAAAGATGGCAAAATTGGCATCACCCAGCCCCGCAGAGTGGCTGCCATCACTGTGGCCCAGAGGGTCGCCCATGAGATGCAATGCACTCTGGGTAGAGAGGTTGGCTATCAAGTGCGCTTTGATGACTGCACATCAGAGGTGAGACAGGCAAAAATACCCTGAATAAACTACAATGTAGTTCTTTTAAATATTTGTTGACATGAAACTGTGACTGTGTTTGATCCAGAGCACGAAGCTGAAGTACATGACAGACGGCTGCCTGCTCCGAGAGATCCTGGCTGACCCGATCCTTCCTCAGTACAGCGTGGTCATCTTGGATGAAGTCCACGAGCGCAGCCTCAACACAGTGAGTCCATATGACGTTGATCCAAGATGTTAAACATTAATGTATGACTTTAAGATTATATCATGTGTAAAACTAATCAAAATATCAAACTGTAATTTAAAACATGACTTGACATATAATAATGAATTTAAACATAATAATTTGATATGGTAGATTTGAACATACATACAAAATAACAAAGGTTACACCAATCCTATTTTCATTATTTTATCTGAATTTAATGAATATATTAAGACACTTTACCTTATAAACTCTTAAAGAAGAACAAGATGTTGTTGTTCTTCCTGTTTTTATGTAATTGTATTGAAGTTTGTTTATCCTAATTCCATTTCCTTTAGTTTTCCTTTATTTACTTATCATACCATTATGTTGAGCAATTTAAAACAAATAATGTATTATAAAAAAAACATTGTATTTATCAACTGCTCAAACATGCTAATGTCAACACAACATCTGATGTGTTTTTGAGTGAGTTCCAAAGGGAGGGGGGTTTAAATGTTTAACATTGTTAGCTTACAAAATGTAGTTATTTCTGTCTATGTTTCAATCTGCACTTGTAGTAAGAGTTTGTATTCGTTGCAGGATATTCTCCTGGGTCTGTTGAAGAAAAGGTTTTCTAACCCCGCCAAAGCCCCCAAGGGCCGGGCTTCTCCTTTGAAGGTGGTGGTGATGTCAGCCACCTTAGAAACTGACAAACTCTCCGCCTTTCTCGGCGACTGCCCCGTCTTTGCTATTCCTGGGCGGATGTTCCCTGTCACCAGCACATTTGGTTTTGCTGTAGGACCTAAAGACTTTGAGAGCACTGGTTATATGAAAGAGGTACTGAGTCTCAGCATACATTAGATGTTTTTCATTCATGGTTCAAGGTTGAAACTTTACAACAATACCTCAACAATCAAGATTAAATGTGTTGTTATAGCTCAATTCATTTTTGCTCCTCAGGTGGTAAAAGTGGCCCTTGATGTGCACACCAGTGAAATGGCAGGGGATATTCTTGTATTTTTGACAGGTAATTCATAACTATCAAGCTCTAAGATCGCAGTACAACTCAACCCTGAGGCATTGAGTTATTTAAATTCTCCATGTGTCACATCACAGGACAGTCAGAGATTGAGCGCGCCTGCGACATGTTGTATGAAAAAGCTGAGTCTATAGACTACCGCTACGATGTGCAGGACCAAACCGTGGAGGGCCTTCTTATTTTGCCCCTTTACGGATCCATGCCCACTGGTAAATACATACATCAGATTTATTGTCAAGTCAATTCAATTTCTTTTGTTTCCCAGATGAACTGTATTATTTTTGATCTCATCATAGATCAGCAGAGGCAGATCTTTCAGCCTCCACCTCCTGGAATCAGGAAGTGTGTAGTGGCAACTAACATCGCAGCGACATCTCTCACCATCGATGGCATAAAGTGAGTGTGTTTATTGGCTGAAAACATGGCAGCATTTATCAGATATATAACAATACTTATATTTTGCGCAAAATATATAATCATCCAAATCTTTACCCATAAAGGTACATCATTGACAGCGGGTTTGTGAAGCAGCTCAACCACAACTCACGGGTGGGCATGGATATCTTGGAGGTGGTGCCGATTTCAAAGTGAGTTATGGAATAATTAACATGTCATTTCAAACCTGCTAAAAGCAATTTTCCTGCTGACACCCATGCCATTATGAAAGCTTGCAGACACATTTTTAAAAAGTTTTTGTTGTTGTTGTTATTAGGAGCGAGGCTCAGCAGAGAGCAGGCCGAGCTGGAAGAACATCAGCCGGGAAATGCTTTCGAATCTACAACAAGGAATTCTGGGAGAAGTGCATGCCTGAATACACAGTGCCAGAAATCCAGAGGACGAGTCTGACCGCAGTGATTCTCACCCTCAAGTGCCTGGGTGTTCATGATGTCATCAGGTATGGTTATTCTGTCTTATTTCCTATACTTGTCATTTCTTTATGCTTTTTTTGTTTTACCTTTTCAAATATTCAAAGGTTCTATTGTCCTTGCACGATAGCTACAGTGTAGTTGTTACAAATGAAAAGCCCCAGGCTCTAACAGTGAAACATACCATATACTTAAAGGTGGGGTAGGTAATTCACTTCAGATACACTTTTTGTTATATTCCATGGAATGCTCTTGACATCCTGATAGCAATGAATATATTAAATGCTTTGACAATAAATACATAAAAAATGTCATCTTTGGAAGCCGTAGTACTGTAAAAAGCACGACCAATCATCTGAGCCGGCCCGGCTAAAATAACTGGATGGCCTACCTGCCTGTCAGCCTTCCATCTGTGCACAAACTTATCTCGTGCCCTCATTGGTCATGTGCGCGTTCGTGTGTGTTGGAGGAGGGGCTCTGTAAGGAAGTCTGAAGGAAGGGGCAGATTTTTTTCGGCTGCGTACTTTCAAATTCTTGTGCACTCGAGCTGGTTTCTCCATACTTACCTACCCTAACTTTAAGACCTCAAAAGAAATAGAAATAAAATATTGCAAGTGGCACAATGATGCCAGTAAAATGCAGTAATAAATAAACGATATACATTTACAATAGAATCAGGTGTAACAAATGTCCAATTAAATACTTTACGGGAATAAGCTTAAATTATTTTGTAATGATTTGATTTATTTTAAGGTTTCCTTATCCGGATTGTCCAGAGGAGAGGTTTATTCTGGAGGCATTAAAACAGCTCTACCAATTTGATGCCATCGACAGGTGAGTGGTAAAACCTGTGGACTCTCTAAGCTCCGCAGTACTGGGTTTGAGTAATTCTCTATGAAATGTCATGCGTCCTCCTTATCTGTGTGGCGTGCTGGCTGTAGGAGAGGCAGAGTGACCCGGCTGGGGGAGCTGATGGTGGAGTTCCCCCTGCACCCCGGCCTCACCAGAGCCCTGCTCAAAGCCGCCTCGCTGGGCTGCCAGGACCTGCTGCTGCCTGTGGCCGCCATGCTGTCTGTGGAGAACATTTTCATCAGGCCAGGTCAGTACATTTAGCTTTTAAAGGAAAAAGAATCCTGAATAACAATATAGATTTATCCTGGGGGTAATGGGGTTTGAGATAGTCTCTCTTTAGAATTAAATAAATAAAATAATAGAATACAAATATGTATATAAACCTATATGTAAAGATGTGCAATACAAATATAAATATATTCATATACACATAAGAAGTTAAAGTAAAAATGTCCACTGGAACAAAAATTGAATTGAAAAAATATATTTTTTATAAACATGGGTTAAACTATAACGATTGAATACAAATATTTATATAAAGTAAAAATATGCACTTGGTACTAAAAGATAAAACCTGTAGACTACAATATATAGAGCGGGGTATTAGTAACAATAATATTAAAGGTGAATTGCACAGTGTTTGGCTACTGATGGTGAAGCCCCAGTGCAAAAAGAAGTGTTCTATTGAAAAACCACAAGCGGGAAAATACAAAGAGCTAACGAAATATAAAATAAATAATTGTAATCCATAATATTTAGGTGATATTATAGGAAGTGTCTAGTATCATATATTTTAAATATATATAATGTGTCAGGAGGTGTGGTGTGACGACTCTCTTCCTGCCTGCAGGCAACCCGGAGAAGCAGAAGGAGGCAGATCAACAGCACAAAGCACTGGCTGCCAAGAGCGGCAGTATGAACGACTTCGCCACTCTCCTCATTGTGTTTCAGTCGTGTCAATCCAGGTAGATAACTCATTAATGCCACAATATACATTATTTATACGTCAGAAATGTCAGTGTTCGTTTCCTACTTGCATTGTATTCAGGACGTTATACTGCATTGATGATATATTTTCACATCTGTTGTAAGTGTGAGCCTTCTCTTGCTTCTTGCAGTGACAGACCGTCAGCGTGGTGTAAAGATCATTGGGTCCACTGGAGGGCGCTGAAGTCAGCCTTCAGTGTGGAGACTCAGTTGAGAGATATTCTCCTCCGGCTCCAAAAGGTTTACACAACTCATTTTCTTACAGTATCATTAACTGAATGGTGCCCATGCTTTATAGATCCTTCATATTGCTATAATGTACAAATGTGCAATCCTGCCTATTTTATTCTTAGCTGTGATATATCATGCTTGCTCCCCACATCAGTGTTGCATCATTATTTGTATGGAGCTCTTTGAAGATAGCTGTGATGGTCCGATATTTAACTCTGTAGTTTATGAATGGTTTAGTGTGTTTGCCATCACACGTTCATTTAAGTGTGACTTTTGTTCTCTTTCAGAAGAGAGATTTCCCTGAAGAAACATTTGAGGGCAACAAGAGTGAACTCTTCAGACGATGCCTGTGCTCAGGATACTTCACCAACGTCGCCAGAAGGTATCACCAATGTTTATTTAACATTATCTATATTTAACTCTACTTTGGGATTCCTTTATTATCTCTTACTAATGTAACATTAGCTGTGTTTGAAAACATCTTCAGTTAAATGTTTCTTTCCCCAACATAGGTCTATTGGAAAGGTGTTCTGCACAATGGACGGTCACGGATCCATGGTTCACATTCATCCAGCCTCATCGGTAACTACTTCTAAGAATATCTTTATAAATAAAACACAGTTTCATTGAGGATACTTTTGGAACCACCACCTTCATGCCTTTTCTCTGAATTCCTACTTTGATCATTATCCCTCTTTGCCCCCAGCTGTTTGACCAGGAGGGTGAGCTGAACTGGATTATCTTCCACGATGTGCTGGTGACCTCGCGGATGTACGTCAGGACGGCGTGTCCTATTCGATACGAGTGGGTGAAGGACTTATTACCTAAACTCCATGAAGTGGACGTTTATGAGCTGAGCAGTGTGGCGAGAGAAGAAGTGACTGAGGAGGAGATGAAGAAATGGGAGAGCAGGGAAGCAGCCAAAAGAACAGCAGGTTTCCAGAATTCATTTAATATAAGTTTTGAATGTGTGATTTCTACAGCTTAATGGTTCCTGTTTATGGTCCCATTTGATGAAATAATCAAGTTAAAGGTCCACCTATTGTACAGGGTGGATTGAAAGGCCATTTGGTTGTTTTCCAATTCAGTGTCTGAAGAATTAAGTCATATATAACATAATACATGTATTGTTATTTTTTCAGAGGTTTCTACTGAGGACGTAATGAAGAAGCTGGAAAAGCGAAACGACGAAACCGCTGTCGGCGATGCTCGTGCACGCTACCTGCAGAGAAAGCAACAAAGACAACAAAAATAAAGCTCTTTGACAGAAAGTTCTTTCTTTTTAGGCACAAGATTCATATGATGTATCAAGAAGCATTTTTGTAAATGATACCTGTATAATAAACATTTGTTACATTTATAAAATTGCCTTACACTTCTTTAATCTCCCCACTTCACAAACAATGCTTTTTAAGTATGTGTGTGTATATATATACACATATACATATATACATATGTATGACAGGTCTTTCAACAAGGTTCAAATCCAAAGTAACTTTCAGTTTTATTATGAAACAGTGAGTGGATTTACCTTAATACTACCCTTTTAAGTGCTTTTAAATAAAACACCATGTATTGGGGTCCTTAAAACCCCTGATTCAAATATTCTCAAGTCTGCCATTTTAAACTTAATGGATAGAAATACGAATTGAGTAAATGTTTACCATGATACCTCATTTAAAGTATTGCAAGCTATTGCCTCCAAAAATAGCATAATAATAATACGTTTTCAGGTGTCATTAATTACACAAGTAATATTGTTTGCAAGTTTGTTTTCTATAATGGTTGTTGTGTACAGTATTTTATAATGCGGTCCCCAGTTTGTATTTCCTGTATATGTTGTTTGGATTTGACGATGTTGTTGCTTTAAGGGGAATAACACTACAGGAAATGGGTTCAAAATGTTAATAGTTGCACCAAAAATAATGAAATGTTTACATATGCAAAGCAGGCATTACTTTATTAATAATGTTTTTTTTACAAAGGGGAATTCTGAATATCCGTTTTTATCACCACATTAAAATGAAAAAAAGCCCCTAGGGCTTTTACATAAGTCATGTATGTCAAACATGTTGCTAGGATCAGGGTTAAAAGAGAAGGTGGAGACACTGGCTAACAACACCCTCTTCAGGACACTTTACACGACTTTCTAAACCTTATTCGTAGTGCCTATCTGTCAGAGAATCTGTCCAGCAGCTTTGTGTGGAGGTTAAGGTTACAGTAGCGGTACTTGATGTACTTTCACACAGACTGTTCAGGTGCAGTGGACCAGTGGACCCTCTCCGGCCTCTACGTCACTTCCTGCTGCGTGCGTCTGCAGGGCTGCTGTACTGTCTGCCTGGGACGGAGTGCTTCCTTCCACGCTTAGCAGACGACTAACCACATTAAACCCATAAAGAGGGGGTTTTATCTTCCCAGGAGTTGGACATTATACGTACTCGTGTTCGACATAAATATCCATCAAGTTCAGGCGCTCGGTGGACTTTATTCTCTCGCTGGCTTCAATACGCTTCAGTGAGCCACTGCAGCAGCAACAGACCCAAAGCACGCCGCCGCCGACGCTGTTGTTGTGAGGGAAGAAAACAAGCTCAGCGAGCAGCTTAGCTGTGTGATCATTGACAGAGTTCAATACACACACGCTTCAAGTGCTAACTGGTGAGAGCTCTGTACAGCCTACCTCCGAGCCTCTTCAAGAGCAGACCAGCTGGGAGTATTTCTGTCGCTGAAGTCGAGGTAAGGAAAGACATAGTAAGGTAATGAGAAGAAGTAGCGCAAGTTGCTAACTGATATGCTAACTAGCTGTTAGCTTGAAAGCTATTTTGGCTAGCTGCCTTGTTTGGTCGTAATGCGGTCATGGTCAGTGTCCTCACTGCTTGTCTGTCGCACCACTTGGCCAAACAGTTCATCAGCTTTATTTTAAGTGTTTTGGCAACTTGTTTACTGTTAAGCTAACATACAAAAGACATCTGACCCGTCTTTGGACTTGTAACGTTTGTTGACTCTTGTTCAGTTAGCTAGTAGCTACAAATGTGACACTGAGAGGATGAGGATGTGTTGACGCTACGTTAATGTTTACGCGGAGAAGCTTGTGGTAGGGTTAGGTATGTAATGTTTCAGATATTGATTAACTGTGTTAATATTCTAACTGGGTAGCATTGTCAAGTATAGCTTTTTACTGGCTTAATAAAAAAGACGTTTTCTCAAGTAGCTTTACATGTGAGACAATTACCTTTACGCTTGACTAGATATTAGATGCCCTCTTTGTCACTCATTGGCAGTGATGGAAAGTAACTATTTACAAGTACTGTACTTACTTTATTTTATGATATATTTGTACTTCACTTGAGTATTTTCATGTATTGCTACTTTATACTTCTACTTCTTGTACTTACACTAAAAGTAACTTTGTGCGCACTACGCATATAAACACACGATATGCTGATATGCTATAATGCAGTACTGTACTACTAATCTACACAGTATTTGGTCCACATACAATTCTAAAATACTCTGACATGTATTAAAAAGAATATTACTGTGTAAAGAAAATATTATCCATAACGTGTACGTACTACTTTTGCTTTGATACTTTAATTACATTAAGCTCATAATACTATTTTATATTATTATGAAATAGGCCATTGTGCAGAATGAGTACTTTCTGTACTTTAAGTACATTTTAATGCTCATACTTTTACCGAAGTAACATTGTGCAATCAGGACTTTTACTTGTAGTGGAGTGTCTTAAGACAATAGTAATTGTAATTTTACTTAAGTAAAGGATCTGAGTACTTCTTCCAACACTGCTTATTGGTGTACAACGTGCAGTTGTGCTTCATATTTCTCAAATAGCAGCACTTATTATTTTAGCCCTTCAGATAAGTATGAGTACATTTATGAACAACCGTGGATGCACCTCTGACGGTCATAACAGAGTCTGAAGTCGTGGGAACCCTTATCTGTTTTTATCTTTGTTAACAAAGCAGTTCAAACAGGCTTTGTGTTCTGGTAACTGTATGCACTGTAATATTCAACCCCATCACTTTCACTGAAATATTGTGAAATTCTGTTAAACCTATTATCTAACATAAGCTGTTGATTCAGGGCTGACCCTGGATCACCAAGGCCTCTCCACAAACATTCAGCAAGAGCTGTGGGAGGCTATTACATTAGAAATACAGTGCTTTGCAGACATTTTGCTTATGGTTATATCAGATGTATAGGTCCCATAATGTACTGTATATATAATTTAGATGTATTTTCACACTGCATCTCTGATTTGCATGTCTGATTTGCATGAGATCTTATTATATCTTATTATAGTCATTATGCTAGTCCTGTTTTGGATGTCACTGTCCTAAGTGTCAGATGATCAGATATGAGGCTGTGAGCAGACTTGCAGATGTCAGCACTTTTCGTTGTTGTGGAGTTGTGTTTCAAGGAAACAGAGTGCCTCCGAAGGTGAGGAATGTATTCAAGCGCAGTGCTGTGGTGACAACACTTAGATAGGCATCAAGCGCAATACACAGAAAGTTTCCTATGTTTCCAGAAATGCTTTCACTTTGTCTTCTTCTCCCCCTTCCTGGCTGCATTCAAACCTTCTTCAGGCCTCATTTAAAAAAACTGTTTATGTAAAAAGTGAATGGCTATAAGGGATATGTTTTTCTCACCTACAATGATCTGGAGTTATTGGAAATGTTTGGATCAGTGCTCGTCTGATATAATCCTTCGCAGCCTCAGCATATCATTCTATAAATAGTATAATACTAATAATATTTATCGTAGCCTAATCTTTATCCCATAAAAGCTGCTCAGCATTTAAATGTTAAATATAGAAAATCATATTTTAATGTTATTATTGAAGCTTCAAACTATTCTGTACAGCCATAAATTGTAAATAGTCCAAACTGAGTCACAAAGGAAAAACAGGCTCGTGATTAAAAAAAAATCTTTAAATATGAATAACATTGTTTGTATCTGTGAGTGTTGTAGTCACATGTCAAAGTTAGGCCATGCTACGATTAGCATTGTTTTTGTCTTTTATAGGTAGTTTGACACCCGTGTATTCTGCATTTACAGTATTTCTTTCTGTTCCTTTTCCTGCAGGTGTTACATGATATATTTTTTATCTGAGCCACTCTCAGGGACTTGACCAATAGGAACCGTTTGCACAATTTCCACCAGCTTGTCTGCAGCCCCTCCCAACGCAGACAGTCTTCTGCCCCAGCATGAATGAAGTCAGTGTTGTGAGAGAGGGATGGCTCCACAAGAGAGGTAAGGGGGCCCCTTGTGTTCACCATCCATCATCTGGGTTGACATAAATGTAATAGTGTATGTTAAAACATCTATGCCTTTTTATTATGAAATACTTCCCTCTTTGGCTTGTAAGTTGGAGTCTCCTCACTGAGATAATATTTTTGACAAACACACGAGCAAGGTGTCAAACATTAAAACCGATTTGGATCAAAATCTGTCTGTCTTCCAGGTGAATACATTAAAACATGGCGACCTCGTTACTTCATCTTAAAGAGCGATGGATCCTTCATTGGCTACAAAGAGAAGCCCGAGGTGTCCAGTGACCACAGCCTCCCCCCGCTCAACAACTTCTCTGTCGCAGGTCGGTTTTCCCATCTTGCTGGCAAATAAGTGGCGGATTAAACTCCGAGAAGCGGTTTGATGTTTTGTTGTCGTTGCCTTGAGTTGTTCAGTGTTGGCTGACGTGTCTCTGCTTACAGAATGCCAGCTGATGAAGACAGAGCGCCCAAGGCCCAACACATTTGTCATTCGATGCCTGCAATGGACCTCTGTTATCGAGCGCACCTTCCATGTAGACAGCAACGAGGAGAGGTGAAACACATTCATTCCAAGGGTTTCATTTGTTTATTTTCTGTCTGTTTTCAAGATAAAACCCTATTCAAATGTGAGAGTCATCTGTGGTTGGCCACCAGTATGTTTCCCATGAATTTACATGTGAAACAGTCTACACTGAAAAACCGGATTCATATAAACATTTATACAATAAAACAGCAAAGATGAACATTTGTTTTCAATCATTCAAACTTTATTGATTTAGTCATTATCATGCACAAAGGGTGCTCCAAAGAAATATGACTAACCCCCCTCCCAGTCCTTAAACCGATTGATTAAAAACACTAAAGGCCAACAGAGTCAATAAACACAGGACTGAATAAATATAATTAATTAAAATCCAAATTAAAAAAGTTTTAGAAGAGTCTGCAATCAGGCTAGCGGCTTTTTGAGATTAGCTAATCAAATGAATATGTAAACTACCACTATTATCCTCAATACGTATGTGGCATGTCTTCTCTGCCTCACTCTACTCTTCTACTCTTCTGCCAGACATTGTGCTGTATTTGCATATCATTATTTATATAATTAGATGTAACTTTACTTGTAGCTTGAAGGTAGTCTGCAGTTAAAGGTCTGGTGTCCTCTGTAATGTAAATAGTCCAGAGATATTTTAGACAATCTCATTTACTTATTTTCTATAACTCTTTTCATGGTTGAAACACCATTCCCCCTAGGTTTTACTAAACCTTACCTCATCCTCATTTGCTGAGAATAGAACATGAGTTAAACCAGTAAGGGCAGAAAGATACTAGGAAGAACATTTTTTGAAAATCGGACAAAGGGCCTCAATACTAAGAAATCATTTTGACTTTACAAGAGTAGAAAAATACCCTCCTGCTCGAAATAGAAATTCAATTCCAGATTAAACATGATTATCCCCCCCCCAACCCAACCCAAGCAATCGTCATCACATTTTGTTGAAATCGGCTCTGCCCAAATCCCAGCAGCCCCCCAGATTATCCTCTACTTCCCAAATGTAGGCCGCTAGACTCCTGTTTTTCCTTTTTAAGATATATATTTTGGCACAACGTCTGAACCATGAGTGCAAAGAGTTTACAAAACAAACATCAGTGCTACTACTACTACTACTACACTGTGTACCAGGGCCCCTGCCAATTCAGATGTTTATATTCAGAGTAATGTAGACATGGCTAGATTTGATAACGGTAATGTGTGTTTCCTCCGGGGTCAGGGAGGAGTGGATGCGATCGATCCAGGCGGTGGCAAACGGCCTGAAGAGTCAGCAGCACGACGAGGAGCCCATGGAGATTAAATTTGGCTCACCAAGTGACATCAGCGGCACGGAGGAGATGGAGATTGCTGTGTCCAAGTTACGCACAAAAGTGGTCAGTATTTGCACTCGCTGAGCCTGGCAGCCGAAGGGTTTGCAACTCGTTTAAACGCTAAGCCTTTAAATCTTTCTCAATATTTTTGGGTGAAGCAACCTTTATACGGTGCAGAGCAACAGTTGTGTATATATGTTTTTTGTGATTATTTATATGTAGGAAACTGAACATTAAGCATTTCTATATGTATTCCTTGACTTTAAACAATTACAATGTTATTGTACATATTACTTTAACTTCTTTTGTTTACAGTGATATCTAACTCTGTTTTTTTATTTGATATTTTATTTTACTACTTATACTTGTGTTTTATATAAATATATATATTTGTTTAATAATTTGTATTTTATTCTACAATAGAGCAAATGTCCAAAAAATCAGATTCTGATCTCTACATGGTTTCTATTTTTATGTAACTTAAAGGATTCATTGTGTAATTTCCGGGGAAGTATGAATAGATTTTCAGCGTGTGGCATCTCATTTGCACAAAATAAGTTTGTGTGTTTGTTTTAGGACACAGCATATGTAGTGCACTAATACATGTGTATATTATATATGCATCTTAGTCACACTTTTTCTTTAATCTTCTGCAGAACATGTGTGATTTTGACTATCTGAAGCTTCTGGGAAAAGGGACATTTGGTAAAGTTATCCTGGTGAAGGAGAAGGCCACGGGGATGTACTACGCCATGAAAATCCTCCGCAAAGAAGTCATCATTGCCAAAGTAAGTGCCAATCACAGTCATATCTAGACTTCAGAGTTCTTGAACAGTAATGTTACATATTATTATCTTTGCATGTACTCAATGTAACTTTGTGTGTGTGCTCCTCTAGGATGAAGTGGCACACACTGTTACAGAAAGCAGAGTTCTCCAAAATACGCGGCATCCCTTTCTAACGGTGAGTTTCTAGTGCTGGTGCTTTATTTTGCACTTTACTAAAATGAAGGAACTGTCATGATGTTAAAATATGTTTCCCTCTCTACAGACACTAAAATATGCATTTCAAACTCATGACCGGCTATGCTTTGTGATGGAGTATGCAAATGGTGGAGAAGTAAGTTTTTTCCCTTTTTCTCCTGGAACACTATTGTGTCCGATGTGTTTTATAATACACCTACATATGACCTTACTCCTGTTCCTTCTTTTTTAATTCTTTTTCAGCTCTTCTTTCACTTATCACGAGACAGAGTGTTCTCAGAGGACAGAGCAAGATTTTATGGTGCGGAAATAGTGTCAGCACTGGAGTACCTACACTCACGCAATGTAGTTTACAGGGATTTAAAGGTAAGATCTTGTTATGACCAGGGTAAATCATGAAAATTTGAAATGCAAATTCCAGGCCCAGGAAAAGTTATGGAAAACAGTATTTTTTGGAAAAGTTATGGAAATGTAACCAAAGTTGCATCAAATATAATTCATATTTGATCTATTCGCCTAAATAGTAATACTATAACGATAATAAATACTGTATCGTATAGTAATGAATGGCATTTAACTGACGAGGTATTTTGCTGGTGAGAGATTTTTACAATCACGCCCTCTAGTCTACAGTGGCTTTAGTCTGTAGGAGCTAGTAAGCCTACTATTTGATTTGTTTTAGATAGGAACAACATGTTTCATATGCAGACCTTATTTTCCAGCTTACCATTTTAAAATCAAAATGTTTTAGTGGTACCGCTGAGAAAGAGTAATTTCTTTGGTCATGGAGAAGTCATTGAAAATCATTGTATGAACCCTGTATGACAGTATTGTATTCAACTAGTAAACAAGCTGAAGGAATATTTGTAACAATTTGACTGTAAACTAAATCTCTCCCTGCACAGCTGGAGAACCTCATGTTGGACAAGGACGGCCACATAAAGATTACAGACTTCGGTCTGTGTAAAGAGGGGATCACGGACGGTGCCACCATGAAAACCTTCTGTGGAACCCCCGAGTACCTGGCACCAGAGGTAACCTAACCACGGCTGAGGAATCACACATTATTATGTTTCTGTCACCATGTCTATGTAAATACACGCTGAAGCCATGCAGGTGATGCAATCTATTCTATGGAATCTAAGTTTTGATAGGACGGTAGTTTCATGTCTGAACATTTTGGAGCTACTTTGTTGATGCCTCGTGGGGCACTAAGGGAACAAGCAGTATGAACAGAAGTTCAGCTGGGAGAGCTGCTGGCTTTGGCTACCATAATGATAACATACTAACACTTAGGAAATGTGAGTTGACCTACAGAGCATTTCTAATCAACAGGTTCCCGGGAGAAGAAAGTCTGCTCTCAATCTTTTCCAAAAATACATCTCTATTGAAAGGACATTATCTTTTTTGAAGTGAACTGCAGTTAAAGAAACAAACACAATTAAACGATTCGGCTAAATATAAACCTTTTTTATTGTAAATCGGACCTTAGTTGTTGTTTTTGGGGGCTTTTTGCCTACCAGCCCATCAGATAAAAAACAGGAAAATAATTTGATTGTATTTGTCGAAAGGGAAGTACAACTTTCTTTTTTTTAAATAAAAAAAACAAGCAAGAAAGTTTAAAAAAGAAAATAAGTTAAAAAGAGTTATTCCTCTCTTCTCTCAACTCTTTCAATGTTCTACCTTGCCAGGTGCTGGAGGACAATGACTACGGCCGGGCGGTGGACTGGTGGGGGCTGGGCGTGGTGATGTACGAGATGATGTGTGGGCGGTTGCCCTTCTACAACCAGGACCACGAGCGTCTCTTTGAGCTCATCCTCATGGAGGAGATCCGCTTCCCCAAGAACCTGGCTCCTGAGGCCAAGGCCCTGCTGGCCGGCCTGCTCAAAAAGGATCCCAAACAAAGGTGTGGGGTTAGCAGCTAGGCCACACACCGTGGGAATCAAACCCTCATTTAGTAAATATAAGAATGTGTCTGGATAATCAGGATCAAAATGAGTCTCACGATTATCTGTAGTGCGGAAGGCTCACAACTCTGCACAAAGATATTTTGAAAGATATTTAACCAAAATGCAAACATGCGTTATATTAAAGCTCGACATTTAATCTCCTACATATTTCTTGAGGTGAGTTTTCTGTAAACATCTCGTTTTACCAAAGCCATTTAACAGAGACAAAGACATGTCCCTGTATTAGGCAGCGTTTAAAAATAGCTTGAGCTAGGGCTGCTCGATTATGGCAAAAATCATAATCTCGATTATTTGGGTCAATAATTGATATCACGATTATTAAAAACGATTATCCATTTACTTTGAAAACATACATTTATTGGAGAATTTTTTTTTGAACAGTATGTTTTTAACAGTTGATTTCCCTGAACTTTAAGTATAATTCAACTAAAAAACCAATAATAATACGTTTTTTAAAAATCGTTTTATTTCGATGATGTTGTTTTCATAATCGTTGCAAGCCAAAATCGTAATTGCGATTTAAAATACGATTCATTGAGCAGCCCTAGCTTGAGCACAACATATCATCAAAGTAGATGTATTGATATGCTAGTGTAAAAGAAAAGCTGGCAATGCAGTGGACATGTATGTATTCTTTTAAAAATCATTACATTATTTTTTGCCTTATTTAAAAAATGACAATGTTTTTTCAAATGTATGTGTAACGTTATAGCACGCAAACATGGAGAAAAATCAAACATTGTCAGGGTTACAATTTGTATAATAGTAAAAAACCGAGTGATGCAGCAGTGTAGCTCAAGAAACAAACCTTTCCTTCCTGCGACGTTGCACCATGTCTGTAACACTCGATTAGTTTTCTGAATCTTCTTCTGTGCTCAGCGGCCCCACAAACCCAGCTATAAAATGAGTAACCACATTATTAAACCTTTGTTCCTTCTTGATTAGTTTTCAACGGCCATGAACACAGACATAATTGATTGTTGTTTTTGTCGAGCCCCAGTGTTTCGTGGAACAATCGAAGAGCTTGTTAAAATTAGTACATTGAGCACTGCCTGCCTTACCAACACAAGCACCTGTGAGGAAATGAGAGACACATTTATCAGAACAGAACAACACGGCAGAAGTGCTCGGTGTACACTTGTAACGTCGGTGTTTGCACAATTATCTGTATAAATAAAGGTAGCTGGTGAGTGGGTGGAGATGATGATGATGATGGTGTTTTTGTTTTGTTTACAGGCTCGGGGGCGGCCCAGATGATGCCAAAGAAGTGATGAGCCACAAGTTCTTCTCCTCCATCAACTGGAAGGATGTTCTTGAGAAAAAGGTGAGATTCTGGGGAAATAAACGAATGACGTGGCAGTTCTTAGGATGTTCAGGGTGTGAACTAACATAACAATAACAAGCTATCCTGGCTAGTGTTGGAACAAGCTCCACAGAAGGACGGCAGGAAGTTTACACATCTTCCCCTGTAGGATGTAACCTACCCGTTATGACTTCACCTTGGCCAATATAATATAACATATAATAAAAACAGTTACAAATGTTTGGCTTATTTGAATCCAATGCAGAAGCACTTATTGATAATGTACTTGCATGATTCTTTCAGTTTGTATCTTTGTTTGTATTTGAGGGTCCCATTGTTATTATTGTTATTATTATCATCATGCGTCGCTTTCCACCTTCTTCTCCAGTAGGACTCAGATGAGGGTGTTGCACTTTTCTTTTCCTTATACATGTGATGTTTTGGTGTTGTTTTGTTTCTTTCCGTTAACCGTCAAGTGGGAAATAAGTATTTTTTTTGTGTTTCTCTTAGTATCCTAAGATACTGTTATGTTTGGCTGTGGGAAAAAAAAATATATATATATTTTTATTATGACCATCTATTTGTATTTATTTTAGTTTTTTTTAGAAAGGGGCAGGTCACATAAGATTTTATTCTTCTCCCTGCTCCTTTTCGCTCAATGGTGTTTTGGTAGTCATCTTTTGTGGCAATCATTGTACATTTGGTTTTGCGTACCATGAGCGGGACAAATAAAAATGAAATGAAATTTAAAGGGGACCTATCGCGGCTACAATCTGTGATCTGTTTGGTATTTTAAGCAAAAAACTTCAGAGACATGTTTTGTATAGGTATGGCCCTACAATATATTTTTCCAATATGGCATAATAGGTCCACTTTAAGTAAACCTCCAGGTCTGCTTCTGGGCCTCGATCATCAAAAAACATTAAAGTTTTTATCGTCCGTTAAAACTAGGATATGTTACCAGTGCCTTGAGTCTATACAATCAATTGTTATCCCAGGTCTGGGTAAGGTTCACATGATATGTAATCTGTTTTTTTTTACCTTATAACCTACCTTGTTGTAGATGTAGCAGTTGGTGAACATTGTGTTGAAGTCCTGTATGCACTCACTTGCACTGCGATAGTAATTGTTCTCCAGGCGCTTCTTGATGGTCCCCATATCCATGGGTTGTTTGATAATTTTATGGTAATCCTTAAAAAACATAATGAAAAAGACAAAGAAATGTTATTAAACAAAATGATGGAGCATTTGACCATTGGCAAATTGACCAAATCAGAGACATAAATAAAACTTGACAGATATCAAATGAAAAAAGAAAGGGAAAGTCTGATGCGCTTGCGTTTAACTCACCGGCAGGCTAAGCCTGTAGGCATCCACAGGCTCGTGGAAAGGCCAGGCAAACTGATGCCTCCACAGTGACTTCATCAGGGTCTTCTGGAGAAACTGCAGCTGGTTGGTCATGCGGCTCGGCCGGCTGGGATCCTTCACCGGGGGCTGTGGTGGGGGAGGAGGACCCTGAGGCATCGTGTGCGGCAAAGACGGGCTCTCAAAGTCTTCGTACAGCAGGGAGGGCTTACGAATGCGTTTGCCCGAACTACTGTGTTGGTCCATCCCGCCGCCGGACAACCCAACCAGGGAGCTGATGGGGAGGAGACGAAGAGGATGAGATAAATATAAGAGGGAACAATCAGAAAAAACCTGCAGGACCTAAGATGCTAGCTCATTTTAAAGTTAGAATGAAATTGCAATCACTTTTTTAGAGATTATAAAAAAAGGAGAACAGTGAACACATATTTAGGAGGAAAGAATGAATGTTCGGCTAGTGAAAGAAATTGCACTTATAAGTTCACAGTACTGTATGGCCTTTGTTAACCTCATTGATGCAGCCATTGGTTCACAAATCTGCTACCCACGTCCATGGAAAAAGTGTATTGTCATAAAGTGCAGCCTTTATATGCTTTATTCCACTGAACCATGACAACTGAATATGGCTCTGTCCTCCCAGTCAGCGATCCGTCATCTGGGAAACTCAGATTCTATCAATAGGCTGCTACTTTTAGCACAGACATGGGAACAACCAGAGCATGGCCCCTCACTCTTAAAAAAACATTAACTTGTAATAAGTCTAATAAGACCCCAATATCTCTTATACATCACATAAATCCAGAAAAAAAGAAATATATATATATATTTGTTTTACTTTGACTCATTAATACATTATAAATCATGGGAAAATAATGATGGGATTTAGCATTAGGGATGTGTTGTACAGACAAACAATAGGATCGTGAATTACATATTTGTTATTTCCTGACACTCATGATAATAATAGTAATAATAATAATGAGATTCATATTTGTTTTTTATTATTTGTTAACTGCAATGATGCACAAGGTTACTGCACAACTAACTACTAATGTTAATAAACACAACAATAAAGCTAATACATAATGAATATCCAACACATAAATACTTTCCTAAAACAGGTCCTTATAAGCAGGGCACGTTGGGTTCAAATCTAAAGTATGCTCTTGTCGGTACAATGTTTTTTTCTCTCCTCCTATTTACAAAAGAATGAATGTCAGGGATACTCCAGCAAATGCCCTTGATTTGAGGCACTGTGGCCTCAACATTTGAGTTTGTCCTTGGGCAGTACAGCTGCTCAGAACTCGTACAGTTAGCATTAAGAATTTGTAGAATTTAAAAAGGACACATTTCCCAAAAGGAATTAAAGAACTTAAGTTATAGAAAAGAGACTCTAAAGATCAACTTATCAGGCATCTCTTCAGACTTAGCTGTGGTTCAACACAACTACATGGACAAATTGTAAATAGACCAAACAAGTCTCTCTGTCTATGAAGTTAGATGAGGTCATCATGTCACCATAAACCCTATTGTTCAATTTTTCCACTTTATCTTCCCAGAGCACATGAACCAGATTTAGAAAAAGTTAAATCTCACCCAGAGTTCAGGACACAGTGGGACGTGCACAGGTACGGGCTAATGTTGCCCGGGCATTGGCCCGTTTTCCCTCTTTGGCTGACCTGCCCCTCTGGAGAGAGCAAAAGTCTTTTTTTCTATTGTGGCTGAATCAACATGATAAGCCCACAATTAGTATTGTAGCGTCTCGTTGCAATAAAACACACCTTGTCAGCGCTCTGCGTGACTTTGTTTACAATCTGACAGCTGGAAGCAAAGGAAAGTCCTCCGAGTCCGGCCACATATGGCTATGGTGATCATACCAAATGCCTGCCTGGCTTTGGTGGCCAATTCCCGGCTCAATCTGTCCCCGGAAATGTCCCCGTTTTTAAATATGCTTTATGAACACATAGCAAGATGAAATAAAATGGTATCACAGTTAGGGGTGGGCGATATGACGATATATATCGTCGAGACGATATTAGGTGTCCACGATATGCCTTTTCAGAGATATCATATCTATCGTGATACAGAGAGTCACTCAGTCATAGAATGTGCACTCACTGTGAGTGCTGCGAGTGCAGGGTAGGATTTTCACGGCGGCCATGACGGCCATGCCGTCATTGCCGGCCGGTCTGGCCGTGAAGCCCCGAAAATAATTGTACGTCCTACGGCCACCATGGCCTGCGTGCCCCTGATACTGTTAAAATCTCGAAGTTGCTTTAAAAGCGTCAGAACAGTGGTTTCTGAACTGCATTATGCTGCGTTCACAACGGACTCGCGTCCGTTGTGAACGCAGCATAATGCAGTTCAGAAACCACTGTTCTGACGCTTTTAAAGCAACTTCGAGATTTTAACAGTATCAGGGGCACGCAGGCCATGNGAGTAACAGACCAAAATACCATTTCAAGCTGGTTTTAATTCTGCAATGAATCCCTGAATGAACAATTCAACAGGCCTACACCCTACACAAAACACGTTAACACTGGTTTCTTCATCAAGTAAAGTGCACTCTCTTGCTAAATAAAATAAAATATTCAAGGCACAGTTTCTCAGTATAAAAAATCACTTTCTGTTTTAGGTAGCACTAGCAGTGATGTAACATCAATAAACATGAAAAGGAGAGTAAAACATAACTAAGTAAAAGATAAAACATCAATAAGGAAAAGTCAGTGCCAAACAATTAAAATGTAAACTTTAGACTTGAAGTGCAATCAAAGACTTTAACATAACTGAACATCTGTTTCAAAAGGGAAAAACAATATAAATACCTTATTGATAAAATAAAATATAAGCCAACAGAATCAACCAAGACAATAAATGAAGTGCAATACTGTCTGAATCCTGACTAGACAGCTTGGTTTTTACTAACCGTTATCAGTATTTAGTTACTTCGGCATCATTTTGAAACGTGTATTACAATTAAATCACGGTAAAATAGGTTAATTTTGTCATAGTTGGTTTCCACCACAGTATTTACATGGATATAAGCCCCGCCCCCTCTCCAGCGCGTCCTGTTTGAATGACAGGAGTAAACACAGCTGACAGCCGCGGTGAAACTCCAGCGGTTAGGGTGAGAATATTCGCATAGCGTCCGTTGTGAACGCAGCATAACGCAGTTCAGAAACCACTGTTCTGACGCTTTTAAAGCAACTTCGAGATTTTAACAGTATCAGGGGCACGCAGGCCATGGAGGCCGTAGGACGTACAATTATTTTCGGGGCTTCACGGCCAGACCGGCCGTCATGGCCGCCGTGAAAATCCTACCCTGGTGCACTATCACGATAGATATGATATCTCTGAAAAGGCATATCGTGGAGACCTAATATCGTCTCAACGATATATATCGTCATATCGCCCACCCCTAACACACACACATATACACACAGGGCCGACCCCTGGCCAACTTGGGGCCCCAAGCGACATTGTGAGATGAGGCCCCCCCCCACCAACCGACAGGAGTGAAAACTCACGAAAAGCACGAGAAACAAATCCGTTTTCCTGACGTTATTTTTTTTTAGAAAGTTACCGATGCACCAAGGAGGAAGTGGAACACACATTAGACAAAAGTGTGCTGTACTTGAGTTAGTTATTCATCGTGAGCGACGAGGGACCCTGACTGTCGTGAGAAGTGGTTACAGAATCCTAACGTTCAACGTAGGATACTCGGGCTTTAGTGGACGAGAACAAGTTTGTTTTTTACGAGGGAAGAGGGTAACTCTTTCAGTCGCTACTGTTTAGTGTTTACTCCACTATCATTCGTGGATCAACTAATATCATCTCACATCACATCATAAGTAGTATATCAATGGCATAGGGACAATACCAAACACGGTGACTTTCCAAACGTGTCAAGAACAGACATAAGTAAAATTTACGTGAAACATTACACAGACACCAGTTTACACTGTTTTGCAATACTAAAAAAACGATAATGAACTTTTCACTTTTTTAATCATAACGAAGTCGATGATGGAGAAACACAAACGTAACCTCCGAGAAATCGGGTACAATACACTCATGTAAATAACTTCTGACGGACTAATAACATAAGTCATTTACGGGGTGAGAACAACTACACCGGACCAAGTTTTTTGTATTGGGCCTTATAAACTGAAGATTTCGTTTGTTACATTACGATGTTGACACGTGAAAAAAAAGTCTAAGACAATTTAATTACGATATAAACAACAAAAAAATACGTGAAAAACTGGATGGAAAACAATCATACTTGATACTTATGTTTAACGTACAAAAAGTAGCGTCATTATACACAACCAAATTTTACACAGTGATAGGCGAAAAATGTCCGGCGACTTACAGACCCGGGTCCAGACTAAAACAAAACATGAATATTTTAGACCGGGTTGGACTTACACATCAACTTATCCGGGACGGGATTTACACTGTAACTTTTTTTTTTTTTATTTTGTGCTCTCCTCTCTCTTCTTTCTTTTTTCAGTCCTAATTGCCCAATCATAGAAACACGGCGTGTTCTATGAAAGACCACTCGTGCTCTTTGCAAGAACACGCGTGCTCTATGATTGAGCACACGTGTTATAGAAAAACCCTCTTTCAATGCGCCACGCGGTCCTCCTTCACTTCGCGGTGTCCTGTGTTGGTAAAGTAACGCTTGACAATACAAATGCGACCTCTTTACTGTCCCACGTAATAAACTATATATAAGGCATGAGTCTGAGGGAAATTCCTGTAAAGCCGTCCCCACACACCAGTGAGTCCTTCGTCGGCCTGCCACATTGAGTCTCTTCTCGTCGTGGTCGCGAGTGTTGTGGCTTGACGGACTAATTGAGGGGGAAAAATAATCAAAATACTTCCTCTAGCGGCCAGTAAGTCCCGCGTACCTTACCCGCCTGACTCTGATTTTAGTCGGGCACCTTAGAGTGGGTCGGGTCGGCTGCATTTGACGAGTTGCCCCCCCCCCCCGTCAGGCGGTGACCGAGACACACACCAAGACTCACAAACAAAGGGATATTTTGTCGACGAGCCCCCTTCGTCCATGAGACGCTCAGTGCCTATAAAATTTAAGTATCTAGTTCGTCTGACAAAATGTCTGAGAGGACACAAACGGTTAGGCCCACGAATTTGGTTCATCGAGATGTGGGGACCGCGGCTTATACAGGTATTTTAATTCAGACTGAAGTTTTAATATCAGATAGAGTTTATTACATACGAGGAGTAAAGGGGTACATTTGTAATTGTCAGACGTT